CCTTTCGTCTCCCTTTCGTCTCCCTTTCGTCTCCCCCATTCGTCTCCCCCATTCGTCTCCCGTCCCTTTAAGATCGCGAGCCTTACGGACAACTCGCTCGAGCCAGAAAAGTACCGCCAAACGTTGTCGAAACTCTCTACTAGCGACGAGCGGGCCAAGGTCCGTAGCTGTGAGTTAGGTTAATGAAAGGTTCATTTGGTTGGCCATTAGGGTCGAGCGCGTCTTTACCATGAGAATTAAAAGCTGTGCTTGATTAATCGAGTGCTCGGTAATAACGGATCGCTGCTAAAGTGTATTTATTAGTGACAGCAGCGCTCGGCTCGTTTCGCTTACTAATTATGTCCCGTCCGCAATCAGCTAATCTCGTTGGACAATGCACGTATGCTCATTTACTTCTTTGAAATTTATTATTTTTAAATATTTAATAGACGCACGCGCATACGCACGAGCGCACGCGCGCCAACCTTTTATTTTCGAATTACGTATTATTTTATCTTTATCTTCGTCAAAATTAGATGAATAGCCGTGATTATATCAAGTGCATGGATATTCAGCCTGTGGCCACTTTAATATGTGGAACATTAAATTCGATGTTTATTCGAGTAATGAGCTACTTGTCTGCTATCTGTACTTTAAATATTTACGATTGGCGTCGTTAGCGAGCAGATACGATAAGTTTTTACTTGAAATATTATCTATTCTGTCGCTATAATTTTAATAAGCAACGATTGATATCGGTAGACTTCATAAGAATGCGATAGATGTAATTCAAGGTACACCAGTTAATATCAATACGTCTTTCTTTAATATAGAATTCGTGCAATAAGCTCAAGAAAATTCGATATTCAAAAAACCTTCGGTCTAACGCCACTTTTCCAAATAATTCATATTACTATTTATAATGCGAAGATAAATTGCACATTGACATTTATATGCAAACATTTATATTTTTGTAAATTATAGTTGGAGTGAAATTTTTCTTTGAGATAATTTATTTGTAATTTTCCGAGTAAAGAGAAAAGTTCATATTTAAATCATCATTACTCTGATTTTTATCTTTACAAGCTTAAATTAAACAAGCCTAAAAATAATTATAATTAGAACGGTTTCATCACGATGACTATTTATAAATAATATGTATCTTATATAAATAGTATAAACTATTTATTAACTTTATTTATTATGCATAACACGGACTTAGCTAGTATTTATCCTCTATATACATGCGATCTTCTAAAAATATAAAAAAAGTCCGACCGAATATTATGCATTATTAATGTTTAGCATATATACGACTTATCTGGTTAAAAGTGTACACATATCCCCGATAATTTTTTAGAAATCTGTTTTTGACGTGCAAAAATTAAATTTTTTTTTGTATTAATACAAATAGAACAATCATTGAATAATTAGAACAATTAAATTTAACAAGAAAAATGTACTATTGTTGAAACTTTAAAGAACATTATTTTTTTTTCTTCTTAAGTTTTTGAACGCCTAATATAATTTAAATATGATAATTATCCATTCTAGTGGTAATATTATGCCTCAATAATTAACACTCTCACCTTAAATTATCGACAGAATCTCATATTGGATTGACTAGACTTTTAAAAATATTTACTTTATTAAAAACATTTAGCCTTCATATTAATTACAAATATTGCAGTTATATAATAAAATTGATATTACTTGTACGATGACATATATCCATAAAATGCATAACTGCAAATCTTTAACCATTCACATTTTTACATCTTCAGTGATATTTTTGAATACGTAGTACTTACTTCATATCTATAGGTGGGGGGGGGGGGGGGGGGCGGGGGGGGGGGGGGGGGGGGGGGGGGGGGGGTGGGGGGGGGGGGAGGGTTGACGATGATGGTAGACGAACGTATAAAAGTACATTGAAAATTTTGTATTGTTTATTAGCACGGGCTGAGTTATATATGTGGTAGATTATGCAAATAGCAGTATTTCAAAATTATGTTTACATACGTTCGCGAATCACGAATCGCGAAAAGATTATATGAAAAAGTGAATTCACGCCGCGTGTATTATTTTATATCATATTTGAAACTTGAGGTATGAGGTCCATAAATTTTATTGACGCCCGAGCAATTTTGCAATTAAAGATTTTTCAAAACCGAAGACTCGAGACACGCACGAGCAAGATAATTATGTTGCTTAATTAAGAAACTGTATGTAAAATAATTTTACGTATCTCTTTTGTGTCGCTTAGTTTTTATGAGACTATATCTTTCGGAGCATAAGTGCTGACTAAGAGAAATTTCTATCATTTTATTTAGTGACAGAGATTTTGTAATTGCAATAAAAAATATTTTCTTTTAAATTTATCTCAATGCTAAATAGGCTTTATACTAATTTTACAATGCTTTTTATTTGCGAATATTACCATTCGTAAAATTAATTTAATTAAAATACTATCAAACAATGATAAAATCGAGAAATCAAGCTCCGAGGGTCTTGTCGAGACGGTTGAATTTTCTTTGAAATTATCATTTTAATCATTTTAATATTTCACATATCTTATTATAATAAATTTATCCCTAATTAAACGTTAATTTTATTAGCGCCTTAAGATTTGTACGTACGTGTGCGGGTGTGCGTGCGCGTGGGTGGATGTTTTATACAGCATTAATGATCTCCAAGTTTTATGGAAATGCATCGTGCATGTGCCGATAAAATCGGTTAATTCGCATAAGCAAACCTTAGACGATTTCAATTTGTTATACAAAGATAAAATGAAATTCATTCGACACATTTACTGAATTTGTGCTCATGTTTAAACTAAAATTTAATCAATAACAAATATATCATAGATGCCCTTTATCGTAATTATAATAGCGCCTAATGATGAATAAAATCCACAACGTAAGATTATGCTGCAAATGAAAAATCCATTACTCACTCGTGATTTGATTAAATTGATTAAAGTCGCGTTAATATCGTGTTCTCAAAATCGTCGGGTCAAAGAATTTTTCACAAATTGAATGACCGATTTACGTCTACTTATCGAATGAAATATTTGCAAATCTGCTTAAAATAGTCGTCTGTCAAAAAAAAAAAAAAAAAAAAAAAAAAAAAAAAGAAAAAAATTCAATAGAGAATATAGTCGCTTAATTTTTTAGGTCTAATTTGTGCGTTATTTTTCATTAATCTCGATCGTATGATCACGGATATCGAAACGATCAACCTAAACAATAAAGCCCCGTTAAAGAAAGTCGTGCGTGTGGGCGTGAAGTACAGTACGGTAGAAGAAGCACTCGGAACGAATTGCACGGCCGGCGTTTTAATCAGTGCAAATATGACTAAGCTCGCGTATACGCACACGGCTTGAAGAATAAAACGAAACAAAATAGAACAAAAAAAAAAAAAAAACAAACAAACAAACAAACAAACAAACAAACAAGAACAAAAAAACAACCACTGTGTTAAATAATGGAAAATTATTATTGGATTTGGTTGAAAATTTTATGCTTTTATTTTCGCATTCTAAAATTCTTGCACATGGAAAATTTCGAAGTTTAGCGCAAATGATTTATTGCTCCTCGTTTATAAACAGAAGCTCTCACAATAGATAATCGAGTACTGACATTCGCGATGTTCGCATTCATTGGCAATCGTTGCGCTATTCAAATTAATTGCCTGATCACATTTAACAAGTTTCAGTTAGGTTTATTGTGATTAGGTGCTCCTTCGAGACGACCGTTTTTTCTCAACACAACCAATTACAATTGTCATAATTATTTATTGTCTAAATTTTGTTTTCGATTGGATTTTTGTACAATTCATTCGATATATCGCTAATCGACTTTCATCACGTGCTCACATTATCATCAATTATAATCAATGCAATTGGTATAATATTATTTTTCAAAACATCCAGCTTTTTTTTAAGTGCAAAAGAGATGCGAAAGTAATAATACTCGGAGAGAAATTTTATCACGTTGGTCAAACCACACTCTGTCAGCTCATCTGACAAACTAACTGTTCATCGTCTTTGAGAGTCGTTGTCCCACTTTTCGCGACAACGCTCCATTGTTCTTTCTCTTGATTTTATCATAATTATTTTTTCGCTCTTAAGCTTATATTGACAATTTTTGCTTTTCAATCGATCATTCATCCATCTGTTTGGGATTACTTTTGGAAGAAATTACACATAAGTTGTATTATAGAAGTACATGATTGTAGTGCAACTCAGTGCCGAGATCCCCTCCTCAATTCTCCATACATTGCGAATCTATACACACGCACACACATATATAGCGGTTCGTATTGTAGACTCGTATATCAATATATAGACT